GGTCTGTGAAAGATCTCATCACTAACTTGATTTCTGTCTTTTGCATTTGCAGGTTTTATAGCACTTTCTACTTATCCGGAGTTGGCACAAAGGGTGAAAATGTTCTTTGCTTTAGGACCAGTACTCACTGTCACACACGCTACCAGTCCCTTTGTAACATTTGCACGTCTTCCTCAGCCAGTGATCAATGTATGTCATTCCTTCTTCTGAAAGACCTGAATGCCTGCTCTGTCTGTGCTGGACTCACTCAGTCTAGACTGATTTTCAAGGAGGCAATGAGTTAAGATTGAATTTAGGGTATCAAACTGTTGATAAAGCTGGTAGGCTTCAGACCTTCCATGGAACAAAATTACAAATCTTGATGCAACAAATTTTTGGAATTTCTTTAGGAAAACTTGCATGTTGTACCATTGTTTGTTAAAATCCAATAATTTTGAATGACACTCACAAATATCATAAAGAAAAGTTGTGTACATACTCTACTAACTTAAGTCTTAAGCTCAAGTAGAAAACTACAAATATTTCACAACTTAAATTCATTAGATATGCAGTTGCTTTATGCTTGTGAAATATTGACCTATAAAATGATATAGGAAATTTAAAGAGTTATGTCTGTTTCATACCATAATTTGCCAACTTAAAAGTATATTCTGGGAATGATAGAAATCTCCTGTATGTGAAAATGCAGGAGTATCTGCTTTTTCTTCCCAAGTTGTACCAATTATGTGAAAATACAGTGCACAGCTCTCTACAGTGCTCAACTCTTGCACTTGACTCCCCCTCTTTGCTAAGTATCAGTGCTCAAATTACAGGTTTGTGCACCTGCCTGAAAGAAGTTTTAGGGCACTGGGGGTCTTCCTGTAGTCTACAGCTGTGACTGAAATCAATAGGCCTATCTCACTTAAGTCTGCACTCTGTAAACAGATGGATAGCAACCTCCAGGACACGTACAAAGTACAAAGTACAAAGTACAAAGAGACAGGAGGAATGCATGGTGTATTCTGGGGAAAAATTCGCTTTAAATGACAATGGAAGGACAAGCAGTTTGAGCTAGCTTAGTTAAGAGGCTACAGTACTAGAGTAGAGAGAGAGGCAATTTGCTGCATGATATAATCCTGCAACAAGATAAAGTTTCCCACTCTTCTGCCCTTCAGTTGGTCCTTGGTTACAAAGGAGCTCTTCATCAGAATGAACTACTGAGAAGGCTTGCAATACAGCTGTGCACACCTCTGCAAAAAGTTTGTGCCAATATCCTCTACTCTATAGCCGGCGGCAGAGCGCAAAACCTGAACACGGTAAGCATGTCCAAGAGCACATTAATGTCTGTAGAATGGAGGCAATTTTGGAGGAAAGTGATTTTTCTGCCCTGTGTCTATATACAGTTGCCAGGAACATAAAGAAATATGTTGCACTTTTCAAATAATTCCAGCCAGGACCTCTGTTGATGATGAAATGGGCCACTTGTATTCAATTCACACAAGGGAGAAAGGAAAACAGTTTTTTGGTTTGGTTTGGTTTTGGTTTTTGTTCGTTTTTTGGAAGACCTTCTGCATGTCTCTTCTCACTGTTTTTTGCTCTCTGACACTCATTATTTAACAAGTCCTCCCATAAAAAGCTCTTACACATGTGATTTCATTATGTTCACACGGGCAGTCTATTAATAACCTTCTTCCTCTCATGATTAAGCAGAACTCTACTTATAACCATCAGGCAAACTGTAAAAACTGGGAAACAATCAATCCATGTTTATTCCTCACATGCAGTTTTCCATGCAACTAATCTATAATGTAGGAAAGTCTCTTTCATAAGGATAAAACTCAACATACTCATTCCTTGTGTACAGTCATATCACCTAAGAGTTTACCATCAGTTTTGTTTAATATTTAAAAAACATCCTCTATACTAATAGGGGCTATAACACAGCAGCATTGTGTTGCTAAGGTCTTTCTCAGATTTATTCTGTCACAGCATTGGATCCCTGCCTTTATAACATTTGTGCTTTCTCTCCAGAGTCGAATAGATGTATACGTAGGACATTACCCAGCTGGAACATCAGTACAGAATATAATACATTGGCATCAGGTATAACTGCATACTGAAACATAAGCACTCACTACAGCTTTTTATGCAGCTGACAGGCCATGGGGAACTCCAGAGGCAGCAGTTCTGGGAAATGCCCACCATATCTTCTCAAATAACACCCTAAGCAGATGCCACTGCGGGAGCACTGCTTCCCACACCATTACCCTAACTGAGCCTTTGGTATCAGGCAAAGAGATTTCCCCAGGGCACATCAGGCCTCTCTGCAGTTGGGCTCCAGTGGCTTCCTGCCTCCAGCTTTGTTTTTGCCTTGAAAACTGCAGAAGAGCACTCAAGCACAGCCTGGGCACTTGGCAGGCAGTAGGAAGACAGTGGAAACCTGACTATGCAGGGGTGAGCCAGAACAAAGATATGATCCAGGTTTCAGCTCTCTCCCGGAGGGTTAACTGCAGCCTGGATCATCCCCCAGAGCCCAGTCAGCCACACACAGGCTTCTGCTGGGACAATGGGAAGTGGAGAACAGCCTTTTCAGCTGGCATCCTACTCTCAGACCTGAGTTTGAACCAGAACATGGCAAGAGAGTGCCAGCTCAGAAGCACAGCCCTGCACGTGCACAGCACTGTGACTGTTTTGGCCAGCACTACATAAAGAGTTCAAATCTCCAGCATCCAGACCATCAGCAACCAGATTTGGCAAATGGAAGCAAGGTAGCAGATTTCTATAGCGTCCTCAATTACTCAGACCTTCAACTCAGCCCATGTGGGAACAACTGAGGAAGAGCTTCATAATGGCCTCTCACCTTTCATTCTCTAAAACCACTCACTAATCAAATTACTAATCAGGTCTGAATTTTAAAAGGGCACTCACCTTTCCAGCAGGACAGACTCAATTGAATTCCTTTTTATAACAAAACAGATTCAAGAGGGCTACTGCTAAGTGACAAACTAATTGCAATCCACCTATAGAAGCTGAACTCTGGTAGGAATAACAGTGTGTCTGGAAAGGTCACCATTACTGTGAGCAGATCAGATCCCACTGACCCACAAATGATGTGTTGTTGTGAGGTGTGATGTGAGGAGATACCATTGATTACACCACACAACTAATAATAGCCCTGACAGGTTCTAGACAGGTCCTCTTTCCAGTGTGAGAACTGGACACAGCCCCACGTCACAACTAAGTGAAGTGACTCCAACCAAATTTGAAAAACAAACCATCCCAATGGTGACAGCTGGGGAACAGGATGGAATGTTTGCAAGGGTAAAGGTGACAAAGCCACTCATGCCATCCTATGGCGCATCCCAGGAAAGCCTGCAACTGGAGGAAGGGCCAGGAGGAGTCTGATCCTTGTGTTCAACCACAGGGAAGATAAATACCACCAGTGCTCTGCTCTGTTTCTTAACGCTTTCATTTTATCTGTCCTTGTTCAATATCTGCAGCTGTCCCATACTGACAGATTCCAGGCTTACGACTACGGCTCAAGGATAAACATGCAGAAGTACAACCAGGTAAGGCAATGTGGTTTTCCTGGGAACATCTCCTTGGGTCCTGACAAAGCTAAGAACACATGACTTCAACTGCTGCAGAAAGAAGGAGATAATGTTTCACCTGAACCTAACACTACTAAGCACAAAAGGCACAGACAGTTCCTTGCAGACAGCTAATAGAAGTTCCTGTTGCTTTCCCTACTGATGCAGTCCAGTGACATGTTCATTTACCTGCCATTCCCAAAGGACCACATCCATGTCCTAGAACAGGATGAGTGTGGGACAGCACCTCTTCCCAACAAATACCCAACCCTCACCTTTAAGTAGAACACCAGCATGGCCAAAAAAGCAAACAAACAAAAAGGAGAGAGAAAAGGAAATGCATCTCTTGCCTTGATTTTGAGAAGGTTCTTACCCCCAAAATAAAATGGGAGGGATGCTGCAGAACAGCATAGTGAAGAATGCTGTGGCAAACTAGTGTATACTCTAAGGAAAAAAGGAGATGGACAAAAATTCGTTACGCAGAAATGCTGCACTCCTGCAACACTGACAATTTATCTGACAGTATTTTGAGATTTAAACTGACTTGTTGACTTCTAGTGGTAATTTCCATGTCAGAGCACGCTATTTGGTGGGTGATGTGCTATTTTATAGGCAGAGAAATATTCCAAAGATTTATCAGGCATTTTCCATCCACATGTGGTGTGCAAATACAAAGAATTGGATGAAGTTCTATTCCCAATATAAGTTTAAGAAACTTATATTGGGAAATATAAAAAAAAAAAAAAAAAAAAAAATAAAACCCATGTGACAGCCAATGAGAAAAATAATAGAATCGCTTTTAGATAATAGAGGTTATTGTCAAAGCACATTTTGCATGTGCTTTTACATGCATCAGCCTGTAGACTAACCTTGCATTAAGTTACTCGGCTCAGGGCTCAGAAGATTCCTGATCTGCTCTGTATTTGGTCAGTTTGCTCTGTGATAACAAGCAAGTAGCTTCACTGGCTATTACTCCCTAAGTAGCTATGATGTAGCTATGACTGAGAGAGTGTTCGGTTTGACACAAGACAACTAAAATTCTTTCTCACTGTGCCACAAGCACAGAAAAGCACAGAAAAGAGAAAAAAAAAAAAAAAGAATGGGACACATGAACACCTCTTCAGTTCTCTCCTGATAAAAAGAAACACTGTTCTTTCCACATCCCTATCTATGACCAGAATAAGCAGGTATCAAAGTTCAGGACAACTCATAGCCATGAACTGAAGAAGAGTCTAGAAATAGGATAGATCATTCTGTTCCATGATATGTAGGGACTGGAGCTAGGGAAATATGCATTAAGAGAGCGGACTTGATCCCTACTCTTCTCGTGTAGTGAGTGCAGAAGAGAAACAAACCTCTGCACAGAATCCTTTTTCTAAACACAGCTTCTGATATAACAGCATTCACTCAGATGTCCTCCCTTTCTTACAGTCTACTCCTCCTGCATACAAGATAGAGAAGATAAGCACACCCATTGCCGTTTGGAGCGGTGGAGAAGACAAATTTGCAGATCCCAAGGACATAACAAAACTACTTTCTAGGATTAATAATCTCTATTACCATGAGAATTTTCCTTTCTGGGGACATCTTGATTTTGTATGGGGCCTTGATGCAGCTGAGAAAATGTATATGAAAATTGCTGAACTAATTAGAAAACAGCCTTAAAGATTCATACAGGAAGTTCCTTCATCCAGCAAAGCCCTCAAAGATTTCTATTTAGCAGTAGAATATAGGCGTAGGGATTGGTATAGGGGTTTATTTCTTTCTTGCATTGTATCTCACGGCTTTATGGTATTTTGATGAAGGCGGGTAGGTAGATAGGGTAAGGTATGTTAGGAAGGTAAGAAACATGAAGATGACCACTGAATATACAATTGAGAAGGCAGCATGAGTTACTTTGAAATATTTTAACAGTTACAGGACTGATTTTGCTACAAACAAGCTTTTATCTCCCTTGTATACTAATATTATATATTCCATTTGAGACAGAGGTGTTATCATATGAAAACATTAAAATTGGATATAGTCATTTCTCTGTTTAAGTATTACTGATCTTTGCTTAAATTAAATCATTATCCTCTTCTTCAAGTCCTTGGCCTGTTTTTATTTTCTCACATTCTCAAGAGCAGCAAGCCTGAACCCCAAGATCTTCTATCATAAGGCTACCCTAGCATTTGAACAGTTTGCCTTATTAGCCCAAATACCAAGGAATTCCTCCAAGGGATACCTCTCAAAACTTATGTTGGGGAGAAACCACTTTCTGCTAACTCACTTGTTAGAGAGATGCAGATACTCTCTCCTCTTTCATGCCCACATATCAGCAACTCTCTTGTTCACTCCCCGAGTACAAAGAGAATAAACATCTCTATAACTATAACCTGGCAACTGAGGATTGAGGCGATGCAGCTGTATCAGGCATCATGCACATCAAGGACTAGAGCACCCATCTCAAGAAACATTCCTGATATTGTTAGTAAAGTTGTTTCAGGATCTTTTAACTTCTCAGCTCATCATGTCCACATATTACGCCATTCACCTACAGAATAATCCAGAAGGTGAAAGATCACACCAAGGCTTCATCAATACACTCCAAGATAGAGTAACTCAGGTGCTGTGGGTGTTTCTGGGTGCAAGGTTAAGGCCAGATTCCTCAAACAAGATTTGCAGCAAATGAAATCCATTTGATCGTTATCTGGAGACAGTCATCAATATAAAAACAAAACAAGTTTGTCTCATGTAACAGACAAAATATATGCAAAGGAGATGAATCACCTTGTCTAACACCTACCACTGGGAACTCAACTCAAACATATGGAGAGCTTTATAGTCCAAAACCTAGAGTGGACTCTCACCCACACCACATCAGCTGCCAGCTCTCAGCAGCCTGACCACCTCAGAGAATTTTGAACAGACCTACTCCTGCTCCTCAGGGAGCACAGGAGACATAGCACTGACCCCAGTACAAACATGAGCTAGCTTAGATCCTCCTTTGACAGAGCACATGACTCTGCCCCACTAAAGAAAGCCAAGGACAGTTGATGGGAACCATTCCTGGGTGATGAAAGAAGGCGAATATAGCAGCTCTTCAAAAGCCAGTGGTGTGGATACAGAGCTAAGACCAAGCTCACACAGCCTGGAAGTGGATACCAAGAGGTACTCAAGGAAATGAGCTTCTCCAGAGAGCCTTTTCGTGTTCAACTAGAAGAAGTAGTCACATATATACTCTGCAAGAGGTCACAGGGAAGCATTTGCGTAATGAGTAAAACACTGTTCAGAAAAGAAAGCAACTAGTTTAACACCATCTCCAACCCAAGATTTACTATGGGTTGCCAAAATTGCTTACAGAAGACAAAAACACTTCCAAACAATTAGATAGGCTTGACACTTGATGGTAATGATTCTCACAAACCATAGTTATCTTCATGTTAGAATCCACCAGGAACACAATCCTGTAATGGCTTGTGTCAGCACAAAAAAAAAAAGCATTAATCTTTTACATGTTCTGTCAATAGACTGTTAGCTACACAGACTACATCCCTGCATTGCTATGAGAAGTCCTTGCTCCTCTGGACCCACTCCATCAGCTTCTCATCCTTCTTCTGCTGGAGGCCCCAGAACTGTACACAGAATTCCAGATGGGACCTCAGATGGGCAGAATAGAAGGGGACAATCCCTTCCCTCTCCCAGCTGCCACCCCTCTGTTGATGCAGCCCAGGATACAGTTGGCCTATGGGCTGCAAGCCCACACTGCTGGCTCACGTCCAGCTTTTCATCCACCAGGACTCCAAGTCCTCATCCACAGGGCTGCTCTCAAGAAGCTCTTCTCCCAGTTGAATGTCTGGGATTGCCCTGATTACAGTATCTTACGCTTGGCCTTGTTGAACCTTGTTAGGTTCCCACGCGCTCATTCTTCAAGCCTGTTCAGGTCCTTCTAGATTGTTAACGTGGTTCTAACTTCAGCTCTGCAGCCTTGAAGACCTTCCAGCAACAAGTGTATCCTAGCAAATGCCACATGTAGAGCATAGATGGCCAGGCAGGACAGCAAGGGACACCTGCACTGCATTTGTATCTGCCCAGCCCTTGTTCCACTCTGCGGGGAGAGAGGCTCTCCTGTCCAGCAATAATCCACCTTCTCGAGTGCAAGCCATATGCTGAGCACTGCATCGTCACTGAAACCTCTCTTTATCCAGACTCTTCCCTCAGACGGTTAGCAACCGCTGTTGCTCCTTACCTAAAGGAGGTTTAGATTCGCCCGAATGAACCGCGTGCGCTCACTGCTATATTCGGGCACATGTGGAGGTACTGAAGCGGTGCCTGCCCTGCCCTACGGAGCTTGGAAGGGATGCGGCTCCAGGCGCCCGGCGTGGGGCAGCAGCTCGCTACCGTGCTGTAACGGCCGCCACGGGCGCACGGCGGCGCCCCGGCCGCTGGGCATGCAGGCAGCGGCCCTGCCGCGCTGCCCGGCGTCGCGCAGGCTCCTCCCTTCGCCCCGCACCGCGCCGTGACCCGGGCCGGCTGCGGCAGCGCGGGGGGCTGCGCTGCGCTCCTCTCTGCGGCGCCGGCGGAGTGCGGGAGAGGCCCAGGCCGCCTCCGCTGCCTGGCGTCTTCGCTTTGTCTCTCGCCGGGGTCGGCCACGCGCGTGCGAGACTCGGCAGCCGCTGACGGAGAGCGGCTCGGCGGTAAGCAGCCGCCACCTCCTCCGGCCTCCCTCCCTGCCTCCCTCCCGCTGCTTTCTGTCGGTGCTCGCTAAGGGGAAAGAGGTCGCTCCACGCCGCGCCGCGCCACGCCGTGCCTTCCCGAGTGCGCGGCCCCATCAGCCCAGCCGCCTCCCTTCCCCTGCCCTGCCCTGCCCTGCCCGCTCTCAGGTGCCGGCAGCCCGCGGGCCACAACGGCTCCGGGCCACCCCGCAGAGGCGGGCGGAGCCGCGCTCACTGACAGCCTGCCGGGGCCGCCGCATGTGCCCGCAAGGAGCCGTCAGCGCCTGGCCCGGCTGCGAAGGAAAGCACTGCCTATGCCTGCACTCCATTTGTAAATCGTTCCCGTCCCCAGTTGCGTACCTATGAAATATTGTCATCGGGTCAGAAAGTGAAAGAATGTAAAAAGGAAGAAGTGTTGCTACTTGTGCACCTGTAACTCTCACTTCATTTTGTACCTACATCGTGGTGATCTCTGTAGGACCTCAGCTATCTATCCAATGTGTACTGAGCAATGTAACTTAATGACTCTGTTACATGGATGCACCTTCCCATTTCAGAAGGGTGACAGAAAGTTCCTTTGAGGGAAGTCCTTTTATTTTGGATTTTTTTTATTTTTATTTTTAATGTGTGCAGTAGTGAATGTACATCCAAGAAGCCATGGGCAGAAGCAGCACACTGTCTGTCTTCACATGAGCAGGTTTTTCTTTGAGTAGGTTGAAGTGATTGACTGCACAAAGCTGGAGCTTGCGTACATTTGATGAACTGCCTTAGAGCAGCAGGTCCTAGAAAGTTGTATACAGACCCACAACCTCATGAAGTACTCCTAGAAGAAGGTGGATGTTGCTGAGGCAATGTATTTTTTGTCTCATATATTGCATTTCTACATGCTCAGGATACTAACAACTAAACCAAATGCCACTATTAGCAAATCCAGAGTTTCTTAGATCATGGAGAACTACAGGAAGTATTGTTCCCAAATGCAATACAATACTGTAGGCACAAATCGCATGCTCGTTTTTTCATTAGTACTCTAGAGCTTGTAAGTGCAAGGAATTTTACTGTATGGTTTTAGGTTTGAAAATAAGATTCAGTGGCTTCATCAATGAGAATACCACAAAGGTGTTTCTTGTGGTTCTATGTGTCTGAATAGATTCATGGTGAGGCCTTAAAGTGTTTCCTGGAAGTTGATCTCCATGCCAAGGGAAAGAACAGTTTGAGATGAGGGATGTCATGAAATCCTCAGCAGCTCAGGGAGTGGCAAGTGTGAAGACACTGAAGGAAATGCAGTATAAAAATTAATGGTTCATCTGTGTTTGTCCAACTTGTATGCGTAGGGTGTTTTCTTTTTCCTGGTCTTATCTGACTCCTGATATTTTATTTCTGTATCAAAAGTTACGTTTCCAATTTGTGTTCTGAAAAGCAGGTTGCTACCTTGTAATGGAAGTCTTTGTCTATATCATTTCAATAAATACATAACATTTGGATTGCCATGCCAAAAAACAAACTTTCAGGGCGACGTTTCAACTAGAAGTGTCTGTCCATGGGAGCAAGTGATCTTGCCAGTTTGGTGCAGATCCTGACCAGTCCACATATGGCTTTGTACTGTTCCTGCATGGATATCCCTCGTATAAAAAAAAAAATCAGCATTTGAGATCTTACATGGGTGATCACACCCAGTGATGCCATGAGTCAGGCACCCCCTCAGGCGCATCCGTGGCCTATCACTTCCTACTGGCAGCTCCAGATGACTCACAGTTCAGCACTCTATGTGTTGAACTGAGCTTGGGAGGCAGTGGACTCTGTAATCATTGGAAAAAGTACCTGCCTCTTTCAGCATCTCCAGGTCACTGTCAGAAGGCCTCCAGAGATCTCCTGCTTTTTCCATTGACTAAGAGTAAAGCCTGGATAGGGGGTGTTAATATCATCAGATTCATCCTGAAAGGGCAAGTAATTAATTGGAAAATTATTTTGGTCCAGAGATGGTCTCTGCATAGCTTCCCTGCGTGAGCTGCACAGCACTGCGCTCGGCTTTCAGACTGTGGGTAATCCAGCTGGTTTAAGGGCAGCTGCTGAGTTACACTCAGTGCTGCAGTGAAGTGTGTGCCTGTTGTTGTCAGTCTTATAAACATAAAAACAAGAAATTAGGCATTGTAATTATCCTTTTTTTAACAAGAAGAAAAAAATAGACTGTAAAGGCAAACACCTTTTTTTTTTCTTTTTTTTTTTTCTTTTTTCCTTTTTTTTCCATCTACTCATAGCACAAGAGATCCTACAGCTAGATTAGAGAAGGAGGTCAAAGACTTCGTTATGAAATCAACTTACAGTATTATCTTACTATGTTTCTGCAGCATGGTGCTTATGCCTGATTAACTGGTGATTATTTGACTAGTT